AAAAACATGATAATAGAAAAGTTTGAAGTTTTCATGTCTTGATCTCTTCCTTAAAAATTGATGTCTTTGCCCAAAAACCGCTGAAGGCTCAAGAGCTCAAGAGTGAAGGGTGGTGTTTGTTTGTTTTTTTGCTGGTTTCATCATCGTTAACACATGGCTTTATGAAATATAGCAATAGATCAGCCATAAGTTCTGAGGTTATGTGGTATCATAAACATAGTAGGGATAGATTAATCAATGGAAATTAGTTTAGTTGTGACATCATACGATGCTCAAAAAAATGTGATAAATTAAATATTCAAACCAAAATCATATGGAAAAGATCAAGAATCAACCGAAGTAGTTGGAATCTATACCGAACTATGATGTTTTAGCAAACAATGATCTTACAAAATTACAAGCCAAGACAATTAAAAAATATATTCATATGGAATGGCTGCACTTTGACTTAATGCACAAAAATATGAACATAAAAATAAGTTAATCAGACAATTCTCAAAAGGTGGCATGAAATCTTAAAAAATAAATATCCTAAATAATGTTTTTTTCAATCTACTTTTACCCTCCAAAAATACATACAGTATATAGACAAATATGAATATTTACCTAAATACCTTTAGAAAACGAATTCGTACTTCATTGCTCCATAAACAAATGCGTTATTAGTAGAAAAACTAAATTCCTTGTTTTTACATTATCTGCAGTGAACACAATACAAGCCTGAATATAAGCAATTTTTCATGATGGAAAAAAATATGTAGACAAATTCTTTTCATCATTAGTTTAGTACAGTTTCGTGTCAGAAGAGGATTACTTTGTGTTCATCAAGTATTGTGGAATAAGTCGAGTGATTTTAAGACCATTTAGCGTGGTCCAGAAATTTCTTTCGATGTGAAAACTAAGATCATTGAGTTATACAAAGATGATCAACGTCAAGTCGACATTGCCAAAAATTTGAAGCTGAAGCGTAAAGCAGTTTGGGCAATATTGAACAAATATAAACAAAAAGGTATCTTGGGAGCCTCTAAGAGAAGATTAAATGATTTGAAGTTATTTGCACGTCGCCCAAGTAAGAAGCCGCTAATCTCAAGGAAAAACAGGATTACAATTTGCACGGTTGCATCTTGATTGGAGCATCTGTGACTGGAAGAGGGTATGCTTCAGTGACGATCCAAGTTCAATATGTTTTGGATCGTGTTCATAACGTTAGACATCCTAGTGGACAAAGATTGAACCCCAAGTACACTTTGCCCACTGTCAAACATGGAGGCGGGTCTGTTTTGGTTTGGGGGTGCTTTTCGGGGTTTGGGATGGGACCTTTACATAGAATAGATGGCATTATGGATAAGTTTGTATACACAGACATACTAAAGCATGTCATGCTACCCTATATGGAAGACAATAAGCCCTTAAGATCGATCTTCCAGCAAGATAATGACCCGAAGCTTCTTTCTGGATGAAAAAATACCAGTTCTCAAATGGCCTTCACAGTCTCCCGATATAAACCCTATTGAAAATCTATGGGAATACTTAGATAAGCAAATACGAGATAAAAATTATTCAAATAAGGATGAACTTTTTGCCGCTTTAGAGCAAAAGTGGAGACAGATTGATGAATCTTATATCAAGAAACTTCTGCAATCTTTGTCAAGACGATGCCAGGCGGAGATTGATAATAATGGTTATGCTACAAAATATTAACACAAACATGGTTGATTTCATTCAATGAACTTTGCTTCTTTTTTCTATAATTGTTTTGCTTTGTCTATATATTTTTGTCCTTCATAGTTCCAGTTTTTTTTCAATTAATTTTTTATTGAAGGGAGTCTAATGAATTTATTTATGTACTTATAAGTGAGTATTATGCTACAACGATTTATGTATACAGGTTGGTGTATTAAGAAAACAAGTTAAAAAAGAAATACAGCAGCACAATATTAATTTGTCTATATACTTTTGTCCATTACTGTATGTTTTTTATATGGTATGTTTTACACAATTCAAGTAATGTAACTTTGTCAATCTGATTTTTGATCTGCCTAATCAGGTTGATTGTTCCACAGTCTCAACACCCCAGGGTCAAAGGAGCGGCCATTTCAGCCAGATGTATGTGGCTGGGAGGCCAAATTCAAAATTAATATGGCTCGTTGTTTTTATTATTTCCTGTGATAGATATGCAATATAGTTGAACAATGAATGAGTACTTTATTACGTTTGTCACATATTTGCTAGAAGGTAAAGTCCAATAGGATTTTTAAGTCTTATAAGATCATCTTCATACATTTAGGAACCCCAGAGGGCAGAGTTTTGGCTCTAACATCAGGATACAATATTCTCTCCAATCATTATTAATGCGTCACTTTTTCTTACTAAACAAATATTTCATATATACTGCTCAAAAGCAAGTGCTAATGAAGAAATTATAAGATTATGTTTTAATAGTCACATAAACATTCATTTCTTAATTGGAAAAAACTATAAAAACCAATAGTTTGAAAATGTCTATACATAAAAAAAATAATTATTATTATCCCTCAAAGCATCACAAATCAACCAAAACAGTTTTATTTTTATAGATACTGGAAACAATTGACATCTAGCTAACAAGATTTATATTTTTTAAAATTTCAAATAAGACTCCAATTAGATTTTTTAAATTTTCATATGAAGTAAGAAATAGTAATTGTCATATGTATGATATTGTGATTACTGTGAATACTGATTGCCCTTCAAATTTCCACTAATATTAAAAAACCTTGATAACAATAAGATCAATTTGTTTTAAATGTACAAACTCCACCTTGGCAGTCTATACCAAAAATTATTGCTTCATGACTATACAGGGCGATTCACAAGTCGAGACCAAAAATGAAACATCATATACGGGGCGGCATTTTAACGGGGTCTTCTATGTAACATTTGTTCCTTGAAGGCTTCATTAGAAAGATACGTGGTGAAGAAAATAAACATCACAATCTTCAAAACCGTCAACTATAATGCACTAAAATTTGGTATGTGGGTTTACCTAAGTATTGTCCATATTCAAAAGTCTTTACCTAAAGTTAACGTGCATTAGTAGCGGTGATACAGGGGATTAGTGGCATTATTTTTCCAAATAAAAATAGTACGAGCCCCTTCCCACTTCAGTTGGCCCAACTATTGAAATCTTAGTTTTTTTCTTATCAAACAAATAATAAAAATGTAGCAGGGTTTTATAGGTTTAAAATATTAACAATGAATATTTTGATAATATATAGTAGAAAACACCAACTTTATCACTCCCTAATCAAATTTGCAGCATAAAAATAACACATGTTGCAATTACAGCATATCAACCTATTTTCATTTCAATGCAAAATAAGTCTATAACGCATAGGTGGCTGTGAAAAATAAAAGCCGTGACAATTGTTTTTATTAATCACAGCTGTCAGAATACGTTTAAAATAGTTTTGGGTAGTTAAAGTTTTCAACATGGGTAGAGGAAATGTTATTAGGGAGAAAATTCGGTTACTAATAATTAAATTTTTTAATTCTGGGAAATCAAACTCAGAAATTGCAACTTTGTTAGACTTATCGCTGTACAGTGTGAGAAATATTGTTGGGAGATATAATGTAACTGGTTCAGTTAATATTTAGCCACAATATGTGAAAAAAAGTAAAATCACAAATGCTGTCCGAAGAGCATTAAGAAGAATAATCGTGAAAAACAGGCGTGCCAATTATTTACAATTAAGTGCTCTGTGGAGTGACGCGGTTGGAAGGAGAATTTCGAGGTCCACAACTCATACAGAGGCCCACAAACTGGGATTTAGCACTTGCAAGGTAAGTTTTCTTATAAAAAAAAGTGAAGTAAAAACCCTAAAGTTGCACAACTTGTTTATAGGCCAAAGAAAAGCCACTATTAACTCCACTGCAAAAGAACAATCGGCTTAGATGGGCTAAAGAACATAGACAATGAACACCTCAACAATGGTGTGCAATACAATGGAGTGATGAGGCCCAATTCGAAGTTTGTGTTGTAAACAGTCTCAGTAGAGTTATTCGCAAAAAAATTAAGCATTCCATGTTGACTGTTTGAAGAGAAAAGTGAAATTTCCAGCATCCATTATGGTCTGGGGGAGTATGTCATCAAAAGTAGTAGGAAAACACTTCATTTTATTGATGGAAATGTGGATACAAACAAATATTTGACAATTTTAGAAGAATCGCTTTTACCAGTGATGGAAGAATGTTTGACATCCGGCCAAGGTTTTGTGTTTCAGCAAGATGGTGCAGCGTGCCATACCTCAAAAAAGGCTATAAAATGGATGGAAGAAAATAATGTACCACTTTTGAAAGCAGTCCAGATCTGTCACCTATTGAAACTTTGTGGCACGAGATGAAAAAGGTTCTACGACAAACAACATCCTGCTCGTACAATCACCGAACTGATGAGACAAAAGCTTCAACAAATATGGGATTGTTTAACACCAAATTTTTTTGAAAAAATAAATTATTTTAGAAGTAAATAGTTTCGTCACGTTTAGTTTATAAAGGCATATTTTGGTACAAATCTTGAAGTGGGAAGGGGCTCGTTGGAGACCTCCCTTAAAGTGCAGTCCTGTGTATGATGTTTCATTTTTGGACACGACCTGTAAATCACCCTGTATAATGCCTCTTATCAAGATGACAATCTATTCCAATAAAAGTCCCCAGGTTTCAGAGAGTATTTTGCAAAGGTAGATCCAGCTTTTCATGGTAAAAGTTTAATAGAGATATGAGGAAAGTTTCCAGAGTAATATTACGCATCATATATTAAATCTTTTGTACTTAGAAATAAATAAAACTGATGACATTATAACGACGCAATTGCTCAAACCGAAATACCTTGCTTGGCATTTACAGCTAAATTGAGTGCTTACATACTAAGCAAAATTTCATAAAGTACAAGAATTTTATGTAGTTAAAGGTTTAAGGTTTGAAAAACGAAATAGTAAATTAAAAAATGTGCAAAAACTCACCTGAATATCATTATATCTCTCTGAGTTAGAATTGGACATCATATCACAGTTTGAGGAGGATTTCCTTTTCCTTTTTTCGCTGGGCGGGCTGTCTCGTTCCAACAGCCTGTCCCTTTCACGTCTTGGCACTTCGATGTCTTCGTTTTTACTCAACGAATTGTTATCAGTGAGGCCTCTGATCTGCAGGGCCTCCGCCGTTTTTAGGAACATTGGTAGAAGGTTCTGAGATACGTTTACCTCTCCCTTATACATGAAATCTAGCAGGGCCTTCATTTCGTTGTAATTGACGTCTTTGAGAAACACTATCGGGTGTGGATGAGCATTCTGGATGAATATCGTCTCGAAGTATGGACTGCAAGCGGACAGTATGGTCTGGTGTGCCTTGAACGTCTCCCCATCGCAGGCTAAAGTCACGTCACACAGGGCTTCTCTTCGTAGTAAACTGCTTAGTACGTCTGTTAGGTTTGTTGGGTGATTGTTCCATCGCAGACAGAATTGTTGATCCATTTTTTCCGCGATTTACCTGTTAAAACATAATGTTAGTCGCGCTTTTTCACCACTGAGACGCTAGCCGAGCTGGCGTTTAGAATAGAGTTATTTGACCTAAAACTGTAACCATCGTGAAATAACAGTTATTTTACAAGCACAATTACATACAAGAATGCATTTATTATTAAAGTACAGTAAAATATCTGCGGCGGTCTGAACGGAACTGAATCTAGTCACCTCTGGAATCGGAACAAATGAAAGGGCATGCCACAGGCCGCAGCACTCTACGACGTATTATAAAAAGCCCATGCCCTTATTTAGTATACACTACTAATAAAATCCGGAAAGAACTAGCAATAGAAGCAACGGGACCTACTTTAAGCGATTTTTATCCTTAAACTAGGTGCGAATCATCACTGTGCCCTTCGCGTAACACCCTGTTTATCAATGTATTTTTCTAAAAACCACGTCTATCAAGTGTAGTAACCTTTTACCCGCCATTATGAATTTTGTGAATGATTTCTTAAGGATCCTATTTTGTTTTTTTGCCCGGGAACTTTCGAAAAAATCGCGTTGCCCACATCACCCTAGCGAGAGAACACTCCGCGAAAACGGATTTTATGCAAATAAAAATATTTACCACGGCAAAAATGATAAAAAACTCACCTTTTTGCCTTGTTTTCTGACATTACATTGCCACCCAATTTTCCAGCCTTCTGCACTGTAGGTTAGGCAACTTGATCCGCGGTAAAAAAATCGGACTGATTTATTTTTTATTTGCCCTTCCGCCAAAAAAACTACTTTAGCTGTGCTACATTACTTACTTAACGCATATATTCGCATATTTCAAACAATTTTAAAAAAAGAAACGATTTTATTTTAGGTTTTTCAGCCACGTAGATATAAAATACACCGTTAGCGTATTACGTGTTGCATACATCTTGAAAAACTTCATGCGGGTGCCTTAATTCTTCCGGTACCGGATTCTCTTCTTTTCCCGTTTTTTCTTCGTTCTTGGAAAGATTTCTTGGATCCATGTGCTTTGACCTGACATGATTCTATAAAACCAACAACATATATGTTGATCAAGATACTACTTTATTGACTTTTCTTGCAAAATTCAAAATGTGTATTTCTAGTAGAGTAGGTACAAAAGAGAAAATGCTAAATGGTGTTACAAAGAACGACTACTTATTTATTTATGCGGAAAATTGTTGGCGTTTCCATCCAATTAGTCCATGATTCCTATCAACAAATAGAGGTGTTACATGAAATTGTAGAATATTATTACATAAAGTAAATAGTGACATGGTATGATGGATATTGTGGTGTAAAAATATAAATACCTACTTAACTAACATATAATAAAATCGCTTAGATTTTTATATATTTAGAGGTAAATCATCGCATATACTTATATCTAACAACATATACCTAATACCTGCCGACACGAGTACATAAAATTAATTCCAGGTAAAAATATGTATATTTAAATATTTTTTACATCGATCACATTTCCGTTCTGACATCATCAGAAGAATCATGTTCCAATACCTATTATCTGAACTATGGAATTGAATTTGGGTCAGTAAATATAACCAAATATTTTATGAGAAAAATCTCATATACCCTTGGCTATCGATGATGTGGATGACATATTGTTCCCTTGTTTTTGGAAATTTGGAATATAGGGTCCGACGCCTATCTGGCTCTGGAACTTACGCGAGCACCGGCTCATTTTATACTTGAAATTCTACCCAGAGATGTTTCCGATTTTATCGAAATAAGGCAGTGCATTTGTCGATTCTGGTAATAGATGCCGCCTTGCGCTGTCTTACTTCGATAGATCTCATGCCTCGAATAGATGATAGTTGCGTTTATGCGTTGTCCCAGAGACCAAGTCTAGACCTGCGGCCTAGACCATACTAATATGTAGTCAAATATGCTCGGATACGGATATGCATGTTTGGTTTGCTTCAAAATGTCTTGACGGCCATGTTCAGCGCTCCAAATTACCCATGACACAGAAAATAAATAAAAAATTCTAGAAATTTCTTGCGTGCACGTGGTCTGGATCAAAAAACCGTTTTATAAGAAAATCGGGCACGTAGGTACCGATTCCGATATCCGATATCAATTTGCCCTGAGTTAGCCTTAAGCCCCAGGGTTGCCAACCCCATCCGAGGGAAAACCTGTATATGAGCTTGAAAAAACTGTAGAGTATTATTTAAAATTGTAAACCTACAGATCTCCATTTACAGTATTTTTCACGAGTATCTATCGCGGAGCAAGGTGAAAAAGTGAGTTTTGCATTGCTTAAGCAAATTTTTATGAGCGGTTGTGGTTCTCGTTGGCCTTGAGTGACATAAAAATGACAGAATTTCCATTCAAATTTTTCCAAATTGACTCAAGGCCAACCAGTACCACAACAGCTGGAAAAGAATTTGCTTTTTGCATGCATGATTAGCTGTCATTTTTTGACATTATACCGCGATAGATACTCGTGAAAAATAGTATATTGCTTACGAATAGCACATTTCTGACATCACTTGAATCAAGTTCTTTTCGCAATGGTTCTGATTCTGGTTGACCTTGAGTGACATAAAAATGATAAAATTTGAATTGAATTCTGCCATTGTCATGTCACTTCAGGTCAAAAGGAACTGCAAAAAGAATTTGATTCAAAGTAGATTTTCTTAAGGGTACGTCAGAAATGAAACCAGTGTTGCCAGGTATAGTCGACCTGTTTTCGGTAAACTTGTGCGAAATTTTTCGGCAATTTTGGTTGACTGTAGATTTGAAGGTCCGCACGGGTATCATGTAAAAAACCTATAAAACGTCAAAAAAACCTATAAGATGTTAACTGGCAGACTAGGTAGTTTTTAGGGCGCAAACGGTCATTCCACGTTTGCTCACTAGGATCGTTGTGAACGTCCATCTGTGGAGGAATCACTCAACTAAACTACGCATTATTGGTTGCCTAGCTTTGGGAGGCAGAGTGATCCGGGTCTGTAGTTTTTATCTCAGAAAAGAAAGTTGGTTGAATAGCAAGATCGCATCTGGATGATTATGTGTATTGGTCTGCATGTGTATAAAATCAGTGATATTTGCTGTGTGAGAAAATCATTACTGAATATGCCGAATATGACGGGTTATTTATATGTTGTGCTTTCTGAAGAGAGGTTATGTTCAAAGTTATAAATTACGAAAAACTGAGGAGAATTACGGGAAATTATCACCGCGCTCGCGTTGTGTGTAATTACTGTTAGCATGTAGGTATATGGCTTGTAATTCGACAGTGTACAGCGAATATAATTATTTCTTTTCTCTATCATTTTTGAAATTCAGCAAATTTGTATATGTAATTACCAGAATGGATAAGAAAAAGTGGATGCGCAACTAATTTCTAGCTTTGAATCTCAATTAAGTGTATTTGAGACAAAAACCCAATGTAATTATCATCAACACATACAACTTACAGCTTAGATCTCCAGTAATGCCATCTCAGAATCAGATTTTACATCACATCAAAGCCAAAGATTGATAAGCCTCATGACGTGTAGGCAACACGTACAACTAAGTTCTAAGTTAACAACCTACATAGGTAATGTAAAAAAGAAACCAGCGTAATCTCAAAAAAAAAAATCGGCATAATGTCACTTTTCAAGATACATGATACCCGTGCTGAACTGAAAACTTGGAAGATTTTTAAAAAACTGTAAATCTACAGTTAAAACTGTACGGTTGGCAACCCTGAATCCTACCAATGAGACCATCATCCAAAAATGACGTGTAGGTACGGAATTTTCGTGCTAAACATTTTTTGTATTCGTCCATTAAAGCGTTAGACTTTAATTGGCAGATTTTTCACTTCTGTACAATGCTTGTTTACAAATATGAACGGTAATTATTCATTGTAATTTCTCTTGACAGTTTCTATATAGTGTTTGAAATTCGGCATGTACCTATGTGCGTACTTTTTTATACTGAAGCAGCTCCGTAGACAGAAGCCTAAATACCACGGCACCGCGGCTGATTTTTCAATCCTAGAGACAAAGGAACGGTCGTATCGGCCATTTCTGGATGTACGAAATTCGAAACGAGTAGGATCGGAGGCCGAAGTCGGGCACATTGCATAGCGGCAGCACAGAGGAGAGCTCTGAGGAGCAAAGCCCGTTGGCATAGCGGTAAAAGAAAGCTAGATCGCCGACGACCCGTTAGTAACATCATTATCGTGCAGGGATAATTCAGACAGTGCGACAGCACCCCAGACATGTGAGCAGTATTTGAGGCTAGGTGTTATCCGGGTGTTGTACAGAGTAAGGAGGTTATGTGGAGAAAAATACTTCTTAGGCTTAAACAAACTGCCTAGCTGGGGAACACCCACGTTGATATTGTTGGCAGAAGAGGAGAACCCGTCAATTACAGATAAAGTCAGCTACCCATCTGTATAGCTTCTCTGAGAGGCCATATAATGCAAGCTTTTTTGTACTTGCGCTAAATTACAAATACCTTATGTATTTATATTTTTGATATCATGTCAGGCTTTGAAACATCTTCCATGTTTGACAATATAAGTCCATGGCCTGCCTATACTTTAGTATGTTTATATTAACTTCATAGAAAATACTTTCATAAAAATATTATAGTCAAACCAGAGAGAGCAAACTCCAACTAGTTAAAAGTAGGAAAATGGCATATCAGATTGCAGGATAACAAACGATCAAATCAAGGAATGCTCTAGATGCCTGATCAATGTCTGCTACTTAAGTAAAACCGAAACAGAAAAAACGTAACGAAAACCTGCTTTGCAGCCTTTTAGGCCCGAATCGTTCATACAAATGTAGGACGCGTTAATGGTCTCCTTGATTTTCATAGTCTTTTCTATCTTTCAGAAAGGCTGGGGTGTTTCTAGATTTTATCTGTTCCGTGTCAGCGTCAGCTGCCTCCTATTGCGAGGTTATGTTTTCGTTTTGAATTGCAGGTAGTGATGCAAAGTTTCGTTACTTTTTAGGACTTGTAAGGACTCGTTACTTTCGAACTTTGGACTCGTTAGTTTAGTTACTATTTGGACATTTCGTTTAGAACCTACATTCTATATATTATATCAAATTATTACTTTGGGATTGATCCAATTATTATTTTTTGTCTTATGCCTTGCCTATTAATTTTTTTGATATTTGATACGTAGAAGGTACTTATATTTTAAACTCGTCGTTGGTTCGTCGGCTGTACGCTGTAAATAGTATTTAACAAGTGGCATAACCAGATGGGGACCGTGGAGGAACCACTCTCCTCACTCTTTACTTTAGTTGAGTAGCGTATCCTGCCCTAACAGTCTGGTTACTCCCCTGCCCTACTTAACAGTCTGGTTACTCCACTGTAAATGGTGTTCAACAAAATACTTATAATAATAAAACATACCTGAAACTAAGTTCTTTTTGCACCTAGGCATATTTACGTCTTCCACCCGCCGTTTTGCCCTTTCTCCTTCCAATGAAAGAGTCGGATGTTTAGTTTTCAAATGCTTCCTTAAATTGCTAATGTTTCCATTTTTATGCGAATAAATATTTTTACAAAGATTAGACTTTGCATTAGCTTCCGATATATTGGTGAAATGCATCAAAATAACACTTCTTTTTTGAGTTTGCGATTCTCCTGAACCGGACGCGGATGATTCCATATTTTTGTAGAAATAATAATTATATTATTGCTCGAGCTTGTACGGCAACGTCCAAACCAGTAACAACCCGCCAACCGCTAGCTCTCAAAGTCAAATGAAAAGTGTACAGGTATACACAAACATTGCCAACCTAAAGCTACGCACTCCGCAACTCGTTTGATAGAAGAGTATCTAAAGTTGCCTAAGCCTAACGATATTCGCATCATTTCATTTCCACCCAGTTTACATCCAAGAACCAAGTCACTTGCTGCTGGCGCTGGCAGTACTGGCTACATTAGATCCCAGTAACGTTTGTATCTAAAGTAATGTATAGTGTAGTAACTAACAGTAATTAAAAAGTATACATAGAAAAAGACCGTATCGCATTCAAAGTAACGAATTCAAATAAAAAGTAACGAGTCTTTTCAAAAAGTAGGACTCGTTACATTTAGTTACTCATTTGTAACGATTATTTTGTAAGCGTTACTTAATTATTTTACATCACTAATTGCAGGTCATTTCCGGCTGATATAACAAATGATATAAATCAAAAGCATGAAAGATTTGATGCAAATAATATTTGTAACAT